AAAAAAAAAAAAAAAAATTCATGTGTTTAATGGGATATTTTGACATACGTATACATGTAACATCATTAAATCAAGCCAATTATCCTATCCAGCACCTCATGTACTTATTTTGTGTGTGTGAGGAGAAGACTTGAGATCTAGTGTGCTGGCAATTTTCCAGGAAGACAGTGTTACTGAAAGCCGCAGTCACCAGGCTGGAAAGAGCCTTGAAATTCTTCCTCCCGTCTCAATTTATTTATTTATTTATTTTTAAAGACGGAGTCTCGCTCTGTCACCCAGGCTGGAGTGCAGTGGTGTGATCTCGGCTCACGGCAACCTCCGCCTCCTGGGTTCAAGCGATTCTCCTGTCTCAGCCTCCAGAGTAGCTGGGATTACAGGCGCCCGCCACCACGCCCGGGTAATTTTTGTATTTTTTGTAGAGATGGGGTTTCGCCATGTTGGCCAGGCTGGTCTCAAACTCCTCACCTCAAGTGATCCACCCGCCTTGGCCTCCGAAAGTGCTGGGATGACAGGTGTGAGCCACCGCACCTGGCCCTGACGTAAATCTTGTATTCTTTGACTAAGTGCAACTGTTTTATATTCCATATAAGTGAGATTCTGTGGTATCTTTCTCTGCCTGGCTTATTTCAGTTGACGTAGCATCCTCTAGGTTAAGATACATATATGTTACGCAGACTCCATCTCGACAAAAACCAAAAACAAAATCGGGCCTGTACGTTGGTGCGTGTGCCTGTGGTCCTAGCTACTCACGAGGCTGTGGTGGGAGGATTGCTTGAGCCCAGGAGTTCAAGACCAGCCTGGGCAACATAGTGAGACCCCATTGCTACAAAAAATTTTTAAAAAGTAGCCAGGCGTGGTGGTATCCGTCTGTAGACCCAGCCACTAGGGGGGCTGAGGTGAGAGGATCATTTTGACTCAAGAGGTTGAGGCTGCAGGGAGCTATATGACTTTGCCACTGCACTGCAGCCCAGGTGACAGTGGGACCCTGTCTCAAAAAAATAGATAAAATTATTTATATATATATAAAATATTTGGGGCAAGATCTCACTCTGTCAGCCAGGCTGGGGTGCAGTGGTAGGATCATAGCTCACTGCAGCCTCGACCTTCTGGTCTCAAGTGATCCTCCCACCTCAGCCTCCTGAGAAGCTGGGATCACAGACATGCACCACCACACCTGGCTAATTTTTTTGATTTTTGGTAGAGACACAGCCTCACTATGTTGTCTAGGCTGGTCTTGAACTCCTCACCTCAAGTGATCTGCCCTCTTCAGCCTCCCAAAGCGCTGAGATTACAGGCAAGAGTCACCACACGCCGCTGGGGTTCTAGCCTTGCCTGTCCCGCCACCTCCTTACCCCTCACCAGGTCCTCTCTCTGTCCTCTCTCCCACAGGTCCTTCCTGTTCATCCGTTCAAAGGTGCTGAGAGCCAACCTCCAAGCCGCCTCTGTCCCAAAGTGGGTGATGAGCAGCTGGGCCATTTCCAGGGGACTGGCCATCTCCATGCGTCCCCAGGGGATCTTGTCTTCTCCCAGCTCTGTTGCAGTCCCCAGGTATAACTTGAACTTCTTCAGCTCCACAGCCTCGAGTTCTTCCAAGTAGGCGGACAGGCGACAGAGGCCGTCCCTGCCTGCGGTTCGTAGCATGGGGGTGCCGTGAGCCCGGAAGGAGAGGACCTGGAGGCTGAGATGTTCCTATGCACGGGACACGGGGCGTCCGCAGCACACCTTCCATTGCATCGTTCACAGGTGGTGGGCGGAGAGGCTGAGCCAGCGGTTCGAGGACTGAGAGAAGGAGGAAAAACCTTTTGCTGAAATAATGGCTTTCTCACTCTTCAGCTCCCTCCTGCCCCGCCCCACTCACCAATGGGTGTTCTGGGTGGAGAACAGGAAGTCAGGGGGAGATTAAGAAATCCTAGGAGCCACTTGGCTGATGAAAATGAGCTTCACTTCTGCTGTTTCTTCCCCGCTCTCTTGACACAACAGTCGCTGTCTTTCCGCCTTCCTCTTGTTTTCCTTGTTTCACTAGTGTGTGTGGTAGAGGGTATCATCAAAACTGTGACTGTGGCCGGGCGCAGTGGCTCAAGCCTGTAATCCCAGCACTTTGGGAGGCCGAGACGGGCGGATCATGAGGTCAGGAGATCGAGACCATCCTGGTTAACCTGGTGAAAACCCGTCTCTACTAAAAAAAATACAAACAAACAAACAAACAAACAAAAAAACTGTGACTGCGCCTCTTCCTGGGAGAATTTGTTGTTTTTTGAGACAGAGTCTCGCTCTGTGGCCCAGAGCGATGCAATCTTGTCTCACTGTAACCTCCACCTCCCAGGTTCAAGCGATTCTCCCACCTCAGCCTCCCGAGTAGCGGATTTCAGGCACCCGACACCACACCCGGCTAATTTTTGTGGTTTTAGTAGAGACAGGGTTTCACTATGTTGGCCAGGCTGGTCTGGAACTCCTGACCTCAGGTGATCCACCCGCCTCGGCCTCCCAAAGTG